AAAAAGCCTGTTATTTTTACACTTCCTTCAAAATCCTACATGGACATGATATATATATAAATATAAATATAAATATATATGCATCTTTTGCTACAAGTCTGGAAAACATTCAAGTACATGGCTCATATGAGCTTGATCATCAGCAAGAAGCCCATGATTGTGTGATGACATCACCAAGGGCATGTTTGGCTGAACGGAAAACGACGATGACGGCCCGATTACTTGAGACTCAAGCAACCTATCAAAACTCTTCCAATAATCCCCATACAGACTATTACTTCCAATACTATCAAATATCCCCTTCTGGTCGAAAATATTTTCTTTTGTGCTGGCGAAACTCGTGGAAATCGAGGGGCTCCCGAGGTTTCGAAGCTCTACTAAAGGATTCCGAACGTTGGATAGAGGCGGATTGATAAAGCTCGTCGTGCCTTGATTATGGAGGTTAAAGTTTTGTGCTAAGGAAGTCGAGTTAGTCCAAGATTCGAAGCCTTGTTTGTGGTTTGGTGTTGGCTTCTTGAACGCGCGGCAAACGACCCAACCTTCTTCCTGTCGTATACGATTATTCGAAGAAGAAAATGTTGGAAATTGGATGGGAAAATTCAATAGTAATTATGAGTTGATCACATATAGCTAGTATATAGCAAATATATGAATTATACACAAATATACAAAATAATGCATAAGATAAGATAGCAAATTAAAGAAATATGTGACAAGCAGTTTGAGCGGCAAATTAGTTGGTCGAATTGAAATTCAATTGATCAATAGTATATGCAGTAATTTTTAAAAACTGTTCGCTTTGAAAACAATGTCGATTAAAAAATCAGAATCTGACTATAAATTTTGTTTTAATCGATCGAATCAGAGACAATTTTGGCCCAAGATTATTAAAGTCGATAACTTTTCAGATAAATTTGGTAAGGAGTTCGAATTTCGACCATAATTTGGTAAGGAACTCGAATTTTTACCGTTGAATCAACACACGGAAAAAAAAAGGGTGTCGATTTTATGTTAGGTCGAATTTTTCCAATTTGAATAGGGTTTCTTGAAAACTTGCCTTGATTTGAAAAGAAAAACCTTTCACCTTATTGGCTTTAAAATTTCAATTTTCTTGATTTTAATAAGTCAATTGTGATTTTCAACCTAACAAAGTGCCTTTGCAGATAAAGGTTGTCATGTTCAAAATCATTACAGACATAATAATCATGTCTACAACACATTATTAAAAAAAAAAAAAAATATTGAGGAAAACTATCAACCTTTTTCAAGTCCAAACTTCCAAACTTCAAACCAAAGAGGACTACTATTGATCAAGCTAAACCCTTATAAACTTTAAAAAGCATAAATAATAATTAAAAAAAAAAAAAACGATTTTTCAAACTCGATTTGAGGCCTCGATTATTTGCAAGTAATATGCCGATATTGTTAATTACCTGAGTGGGTTCATTTTCGGATGTTTGTAGCCGATATTCGTGCATGATCCAGTCGGATTTTCTCCCGTTTGGAGCCCGGCCTCGATAAAAAACCAAAGTCTTTCTCATCCCTATGAGCTTGTCCTTCGAGAGCACGGCCTTGTCCCGACCCGTCGCCTTCCAAAAGCCCGCGGCCGTGGCCCGGTTGGTCCGCGTGCCCGTCGGGTACTTCCTATCCTTGTGGCTGAAAAAGTACCACTCTTTTTGTTCTTCATACCCCAATTTGCACCTATCTATTTATAGTAATGCTTGTTATATGAGTAGTGATTAGTGAGTGAGTTATATGCTGAAATGAAGTTTTCAATTTCACAAAAAAAAAAAATAAAAAATAAAAAAAATAATAATAATAAGAAGAAGATTAGAAAGCACTATTGCTTTTGATCCTCTTACTTTGAAAACTAAAATCCAAGATTTTTTTTTTTTTTTTATGTTCACTCAAATTATACTGGAATAAATTACAATTTTAGTCCTGTAACTATATCTTATATTGCAAAATTGACCTATATCTTGATTTCTTTAAAAAGAAAAAAAAAAGGAATATATATAGAAAGCTAGAGGTATGTACCTTGAATGTCCCATGGCTCAATTCTATAGAGATCAATGTCAATGATCACATCAAGATCAATTTTGAGAGAGTTGACCTTCCTCTTGAGATAATACCCGACGAGTTCTTCATCGGTCGGGTGAAATCGAAAGCCCGGAGGCACAATCGACGATTCCGCAACACTTTCCATTTTTCTTTTGGACCAATTGAGCAATGAGATATGTTTTCTGTGATATTTGTAGAGCTAAGAAAGAAAGGTGTGAAATTCACACTATTGATATGTATTCATATAATCATATCCATTATTTGTTGAGAAAAATAGAATGATGATGGAGATATTGGTCCCAAGATGCATGTACAGTGCAGTGGTATACCTAGTTAAAAGTAAAAATTTATTTTTAACATAAAAGTAGTAACTATATAGTCTATTTATATTGGTGGCCGTAAAAATTGACTTTTTATATTATTGAGAATAAATAATTATTTTATTGAGAAAAAAAAAAATAATATTTTAGGGACATTGGGGGGGCATGTTCATTTCTTTGAGTGCATTCCACTTCATGATTTCATGTTGGGCATGGGGTTTTTGTCACACCCACCCCACCCTAGTACCCTTCTTCTTCCATAATTTATGATTTTATTTTGAAAAAAAAAAAAATAAAAAAAATCATTCACAATAATAATAATAATAACACTACAAGAATAATCAGCTTTAGTGACGATAATTTTTGTCGCTATGTCGTCACAAAAAATACCGTCACAATAAGAGGTATTATTGTGCCAACATTCGAAGATATAGCGACAATATTAGGACATTACTAGCCACGGTATTTTTTCTGACGACATAGCGACAAAAATTATCGTCATTAAAAATGATTATTCTTGTAGTGTATAATAATAAGAAGAAGAAGAAGAATACAATTGCCTTTTTATTCTTCTATGCTAAACAAGTTATAACCACTAATTGGAGACTTCATTGAAGAGTTAATTTGGGGGGTTAGTAAGTGAAATATGTTTCATAGTAGTGGAGAAGAGAAAGATTAATCATAGACACAAATTTGTAAGAAGAGACAACCTAACAAATTTTTGTGTGATGCAGTCCAATGACCGTGGTCGACTTGTCATTTTTGTTTTCTTTTTGTACGTACAGAAATGCATTTTTATGCTATAAAATGTCATACTTAATTTTTATTCGATTTTTTTAAACGATACTTGATACGTTTATGTGTATTTGTTGAAAAAACGTGACTGTCTAAACCATTATTATATCTGCTTAACAACAATTTTACCGACCGAAACATTGTGTTTTTTTTTTTTTTT